TGGGAGGCGCGCCGGTGGGGGGGTGCAGGGTGGCGGGCTCAGGGCGGGGGCGATTGCGTGAGGTGCTTGCGCGCATCGACAAGGCTGTCGGGATCGAGGGGGGAATGCGATGCGATGCAGCTGGCGCGGGGGCCGGGCAGGGGCAAGCGCGAGCCGTCGATAGCGCCGGCTCAGGCGGCAAACACTGGATGGGGCAAGAGCTTGCTGGCTGGTGGTTTGGGGAAGCTCACCGCCAAACTTGCGGGGGTCGATGTTTTTGAGGATGGAGACAGCGCCCCACCCGCTGCCCAGGATGACAACGCGGGTCTTGGCGGCCTCCGCCGCGCCGCGGCGTCCGGAGGGGGTGGCGGCGGCGGTGTTGGCGTTTGCGTCGGCGGCGCGCGGGGCGGTCGGCGGCGGTGGCGCTGCCGTGGGGGGCGCGGGGGACGCTCCAGCGGCGGCGGCGGTGGCGGCGCGGTGTGCGGCCGCATGCCGCGGCATGGTGGCGGCCGCACAGGCGGTGCGGCGCGGGGCGGGTGCCGTGGGGCAGGTGGCGGTGAGGTGCTGGCGGCGATGGGAGGCGCCGCAGAGGGTGGACGCATGGGTGATGGTTGCCATTTCGTGGGGGAGGTCGTTATCACTTTGGTGAGTGTGAATGAATCCAATGAGGGTACCGAAGGGATCTGGGCTAGCTCGTAAGGGGTTGGGACAGGCTCAAATTAGACGTGCTGGTCCGCAGGCCTCAAGAGAGCGTGCGTGATGCGGTAGAGGTTTTGCTGCCGAAGTTGCCGTTTCCTTACACGTGACGATTGGTTGTATTTCCTCCAGGCGTCTCCAAAGCACGATCCTTCGAAGGGGACGTTACGTGACACTTTCGGAGTTCTCACACCGGCCCACGTCAAGCCAAAATGACTAATGGAAGGTTTGGCAGCGAATACTTATTTTTCGTTTGTCACACACATGAGCTACTTGGCGCTGGGCTGCGGCAAGGCGTTGGCCGCCCCGCGCGGCAAATTGCGCACCCAGCGGCAGTGCGAAATGGACCAGCAGCGAAGGCTGCGACCCAGCCTCATGGTACTGTTCCTGTGTGATGGGCTGGTCGGTGGAACGCCTCTCTCCACAACTGCAGGGCTGAGTTTCTGTGTCGGCCGCATGGAATTTTTGTGCAGAGGAAGGCCCCCAAGGCAGCATGGTGCATGCACGCACGCATCTCAGCATGGCCCACACCCATTGATGCGGGCGTGGTTGACAGCCGCTTCCAGGGCCCGGCTTGAATCTAGGTGCGCTTGTGCACTCGTGCTCTCTCGCCGCCCTGGCTGGCACGTGGCCTCTTGCAATGCCTTCGGTGTGGGGCGGTGACACCTAGCAGGTCATATGATCTACCATTCAGCAGACAAACTACCCAGCACTGGGCCACCGCCCATCTCACTTCCAAGGTCACCCCATCCATGGCGCTATATCGCGTCGCCATGATGGACGGCTGAGCGCCAGGGGCGATTCAAGTTATGTGGCGGGATGGAGCCAGGTCTTCAGCGCTTTGCTGCAGGGTTGCCAATGCGTCAGCAGTCGCATGTGCCTGGCGCCGATGTACAGTAGTCAAGGGCATTGCCTGGTGACAGAGTGCCAGCTGCTGGGTTTTGGCGGGCCTGAGGTGGGATTGATGCCCACATAGGCGTGAGAGGCAACGATTTCTTAATTTTAGTCCTTCTTCACCGCTCGCGGGGGCTCTGGACTTTGGGCCGTGCGGCAACAAACTTTTTTCTGGGCATTAGATCCTTGAGCACAAAGTCAGGTGTGATGCACCTGTGGTAATCAATAACACCGTCGGGCCAGTTCGAGGGCTGCAGCAAGCCGCGCGTGCCGCGCCGCGCTTGGCGCACGTTGATGCGCCGCGACTAGTGGCATGGCAGCCAAGAACGTCAGACACGCAGTGAGGCCTCTAGCACTCCTAGCCGCTTCTCTGGCACTGGCGGGGTGGGCTGTGCTCGTCTGGAGGGCTGGATCGCACCAATCGCAACCCTGCCCGGCGGTGGCTAGTGCTCCTAGCACACAGGTGAGCGCACAGGGAGCACATGCAGCATCGGCAGCCGACACAGCACAAGCAGCACGGGTAGCAATGGCAGCACCAGCAGCTCAGGCGGCACAAGCAGCACGGGTAGAATAGGCAGCATCAGCAGCTGGGACAGCACAAGCAGCACTGGCGGCCCTGGCGGCATGAGGCACCAAGGTGGTTGCGTTCCAACCTCCACGTACCGAAGGCGGACGCCTCCTTGTGCGTTCCCCGCCGCGCGCACGCCCCGCGCAGGCCACGTCCCTGCCCCCGCCGCCGCCCCCGCCGCCCCCTGCGGCCCGCGGGCCGGCGCGCGTCTTCTACGTCGACGCGTCCGCGGCATACTCGGATGACAACATCCCACGCTGCGACCCCGAAGACCCCGACAGCCCGCTCGCCGCAGTGCAGCGCCTCCTCGCCGCGCGCCGCCCCGGGCGCGGCGCGGCGGGCGGCGTGGTGCCGCACCACTCGACGGGCCCGTACGCCGGCGGCTGGTTCGTCGCGCAGGCGCTGCTCGCGTCGGAGCACGTGACGACCGACGAGTCTGAGGCGTCGATCACGTACCTCGACGTGCACTGCTACTACGCGACCGCGATGCTGTCGCGGCGTCTTCGTCCGAAGGACGTCAAGCGGCTCGGGTTTGACGCCGCCGAGGTGCTCGGGAGCGTGCTGAAGGCCGCCGCCGCCAGCTCAACGGGGTCCAAAACGGCGGTGTTCCTGCCCGGCCCCCTGCCGGCGCGGCTGAGGGGCAAGTGCAAGAGCGAGCTGCAGCTCAACTCGACCTTCGTCGTGGCGCACTCTCGCCCGGCAACATGTGTGGTGCCGTCTCGAATGATGCTCGCGCCCGTGCCCAGCAACGACGGCGCGGCGCCTGCGCCCGTGCCGGCCCCAATCGCCGGCACGGGCTGGAGCGGCGACGGCGCGAGCGGCAAGCTGTACAAAGGTCGCAAGGTGCTGCTGACGTTCGCCGGCGAGGCGTCCGACGCCGCGGGGGCGAGCGCGGGCATGAAATTGCGCCACGCGGCAATCAAGGCCCTGCAGGGCGGCCGCGGCGCCGTCGGGCGCGCGACGTGCGAGTCCTGCAACGGGAGCGCCCGCCTGGCGCGGGAGGACCTGCTGCGCCTGTACCGCGGGTCGAAATTCTGCCTCGTCATCCCCGGCGACGGCCAAGCCGGGCGCATGTTGACCGAGGTCGTCCTGCAGGGCTGCATCCCGGTGTTCGTCGGCCCGCCGTTCGCCACCGTGCCGCTCGCGTCGCACCTCGACTACCGGAGCTTTTCGGTCGCGATATCCGTCACGAACACCAAGCCGTGGGCCGCGAGCGCCGCGGCCCGCAAGGCGGTGCTCAAGCGGAAGGCCGGGTTTGAGGTCAACGCCAACGTCGAAACGATCGACGAGGTCCTCGACGAGATCCAGGACCTCACGGCGGCGGAGATTTCGGAGCTGCAGGGGGCCCTCGAGGGCGCGCGGCGGGCGTTCATGTACCGGACGCGCCTCGACCCCGGCGACCCGAGCGCGACGGACCTGATTGTGGAGCAGATCGTGGAGTGGGCGGACGCGGCGGTGGTGGTGGACGGCGGCGGCAAGGGCAAGGGCAGCGGGCGCAAGCTGGCGCTGTAGGGCAGGGCCTGGTCGGGGCGGTGAGGGGCTCGGCGGCTGAGGGCGGCGGGCAGGTGGGCATAGGTTGGGGGCCCGCTGCCCTCAAAAGCCCCCACTCACATTTTTTACAGTCAGGTTTGCTTTTGTCCGGCCGCGTGCCGCGAGGGCGCCGAATGGCGGCCTTCTGTTGTAGACATGGGTTTCAAACATTGCTCACTGGGAGCTAATCAAATGCAATCTACTCACTCCGGGGTTGACGTGTCTTTTCTCCTATGTGCGTGATGCATGCGCTGGGTGGTACATGGGTATTGACACGCTGAACAATAAGCCGCACCTTCTTCGGTCAAGGAAGGGCACGGCGGCGGCCACAGGCTAATCTCGTGCTTGCGCACGGTTGAGAGCCCCACCTGCTTGCTTTCCTGTCTCGGCTCTCACATGCGGCACGCGCAACACATGCGCCTACCCCAGCTACCCGCACGGCCTGGGCGTGCGTGGAGCTTTCCGCCGCCTTCCTACAAATCCGACCATGGGTGTTTTCAATTGTGTTTAGGAACTTATTCCGACAATGCCCGCGCCGCGGCGCCATTGCCGCCATGGTGTCCTTGCCTGGAGGTGCAGCACCTTTGAGACCTGCGTTCCTCAAGCAGCGCCCGCATAGTTTGAATCGCTTGTGTCCTTGGGATGGCAAGCTTGGATGTAAACAACTCTTCAAGTGTGTGTGGGCGCGAAAGCAGGACACTTCTGGCTTGACCACATTTCAGGATTCAATCAAAGCGGATAGGCTGTGACAGTCAGAGCGCTTGAGCCCGCGCCGGACAGTCTGGCTGCACAGGGTGCGGCAAGGTGCTGTTGGTTTCCCTTCAGGGTGCTTTGGTGTGCGGGCGCCAAAGCAGGGCAGCTCTGGCTTGACCAAATTTCGGGATTTGATCAAAGCGGACAGGGTGTGACAGCCAGAGCGCTTGAGCCCGCGGCGGACAGTCTGGGGTGCGGCAGGGTGCTGTTGATTTTCCTTCGGGGTGCTTTGGCGTCATCAGAGCAAATTTTAGTACGAGCAGGGCACCCTCTCCCCTGGCCCCAAGTCCAGCGGGCTGACCCCACAGTAAGGGTTTTCCATTCACACCTGCTACATGAGCAGTGCCCTTCTCAAGCCACCATCATGCCGTTGCACAAAATGGCATATAACAACTCTTGTTCTGCGCCGCACCCACCCAACCTGTTGTCAACGCTGGCATCCCATGATATCTACATGCTCATGCATGTGGTATGTGCATGCTGTACATGAAATGATGTCATAACACATGCTGTCATGTCATCGCACACATCAGCAGCGACAGTTTGGGGTAAGCACAAGGGAAAGGTTGCGGGGTCCATGAAATGCACCAATCAAAGTTATGCAAAAGTCAAACAAAGTGTTGGGTCAAACAAAGATTGGGATGCGAAGCATTGTTCAGACTCAAAACAATGTGTCTCATTTGTAAGCTGTGGTGCAGCTCAGCTTCTACCGGCGGCCAATCCCTGCAATACAGTCACGGCGTCCTCCCACCGCCGCCGACCCTCCGGCGACTCATGCGCCCCCGCCTGCAAGTCAGCAAGCGCGGTCGCCACCGCTTTGCTGTCAAGGCCGACGCTACGTGCGGCACCGGCGGGCGCGCCGGGCAGCAGCAGCGCGGCCATCGCACGCAGCAGCGGCGCGCGCGCGGCGCTCAGCTCGGCGGTCGAGGCCAGGGACGCATATGCGCTGTGAGCACACAGTGCCACGCGCGCGGCGGCGGCCTCCGCGGGCTGCAGCTGCTGCTGCTGCTGCTGCTGCTGCTGCTGTTGGGTCCAGTGGTCCAGCCACACTATCAGCCGCAGCCCCGCAGGGGCGTCGCCCGACACTGCGGCACCGCTCTGCTGCGAAGTCCCGCCGCCATCCCCTCCATCCCCGCCGCTTCCGCCCGCATGCCCCCAACAGACTGAATCCAGCCCCAGCGGCGCCGCCGGCCCGAAATCAAGCACCGCCTGCGCCAACCACTCCGCGGCCGCCAAGCCGCACCGCGCGTCCTCCGGCGGGTCCGTGCCGGCCGCCGCCGGCGCCGCCGGCAGTAAGTGCAGCAGCAGCGCCATCAGCAGCGCACCGCACTCTGCCGCGGTGCTGGCGCCGGCGCTGGGCGTGTCAGGCTGCAGCGACTGCACGGCCCGCACCAGCGCCGCCGCCTGCCGCGGTCCCACGAGGGCCCGCCCCACGCCCTGCAGCTCCCGCCGCCCCGGCGCCGCGCGCACGAGCAGGCACAGCACGCGCAGCGCCCGCGGCAGCGCAGCCGCGACCGTCGTAGCCGCCTCCCCGGGCGCCGTCGCTTCCGAGGCGCCATGGGGCCTGTCAGCGGGCTGCGTCGCGGCCGCCACGACGGGGGACACGACGGTGCATGCGGCCTGGAGATAGGCGTCGAACACCGCCGCCGAATCCTCCCGCCGCGTCAGGCCGATGCGGCGCGCCAGCAGCCCCTCCAAACACGCCATCGCCCACGCGCCGCCGCCGCCGCGCGCCGCCGCCGCGAGGAACGGCAGCAGCCCCGACGCGCGCACGAGGTGCGAGGCGGCGGCAGGGATGCGGCACGCCTGGGCGGTGATTTGTTCGACCATCGGGTCGAGGGACGCGGACTCGCTGGATGGGGAGCGGTACAGCGCCGCGAGCTGCTCCCAGACGTACTGCCGGCGGTACATGCGCGCGTCATCGGGGCCCTGCGGCGAAGGAGGCCGGCGTCAGATTGCAGGTGAGACTTCCGAGGAGCTAGGGGAGGAGGTGACGAGCGTTCCAACATCCAGAGGCGCGTGAGTGTGCGAGGAACATCTGGGTGTCGGGTACAGCGGAGCAGGCTGAGGGCCGCGCTGCGGGGCAACGGCGCAGGCGCACAGCGCCAGGCGCGTTTCGAGGGCCACGCGATTGCAAGACCCCGGGTGACGAGCGCCCGCCGGCTTGTCAGCCCCTACCCTGACGCTGAACCCTGAACCCTGAGCCTTGAACCCTGAGCCCTAAACCCCGCACCCTCAGGCCGAGCCACATCATCCTCAGGAGCCACTGCCGGTCGGCCCTGTGGTGCTGCGCGCCGGCCGCCAGCAGCCGCATCGTCCACGGCAGCCGCCCAAAGTCCGCCGCCGGCGCCCGCAGCAGCAGCCGCCGCACGTACCCGTGCGCGGCCGCGCCCGGCGCGCGCAGCAGCAGCGACGCCTCGGCGGCGAGCGCGGCAGCGGCGGCGGGCAGGCGCTGCAGCGGCGCGGAGACGCCGTTTCTCACGTATGAGAGAAGCGCCTCGAGCTGCGGCTTGTCGCGCAGCGCGCGGCTGCTGGCGGCGGCGGGGGCGGACAGGGCCGATGAAAAGAGGGCGAGCGCCTCGTACGCGAGCGCCCTGCGGCAGGTGCGCGCGATGCAAGGGGTTGAGGTTTGTTTGGGTCGGACGGCGTCGGGGGAAGCGGTTTCGGCGGTGGAGAGGGCCAAGTAGAGCCGGGTTGAGGGGGGGGAGGGGGCGTGGCCGGGCCCCGCTGGCTCGGGCGTGAGGAAATGAGGCAGCCTGTGCGCGGCGCCAGGCGGGTGCGAGTGGGGCCGCGCTCGACGATGGCAGCCGCGCGCGGCGGCGCGTCCAAGGTGTCGGCACAGGGTGGCCCAGCCAGCAGACGCCACGCCGTGCGGGCGCTCTCCACCCCTCGCCCCACCTGATCGCCGCGTCCCGTGCGGCCAGGGCCCGCAGGCACACGCCCAGCAGCCCGCACCCCGCAAACGTCGCCGCGTCGAGCGCGCCGTCCCGCAGACCGGCCGCCGCCAGCGGCAGCAGCGCACAGGGGTCGTACGCCGCGCCCACCGCGCCCGCCGCCGCGCCTGCCGCCGCCGCGTCGCCGCCGGCGTTGCGGCCGGCATCGTCATCATTGTCGGGGGCGGCGGCGGCGTAGGGGCTGAGGGGCCGGTCGTCCGGGAACAGCGCGACAGTCAGCGCGCAGCGCAGCGGGTCCGGCGCGAAGCGCTCCCGCAGCAGGCGCCCGCGCGCCGCCGCGTCCGTGCCGCCGCCGCCGCCGCCGCCGCCCTGGCGGCGCTCGAGCAGCGCCCTCGCGGCTGCGCCGACCATGAACCCCGTCTCGGACGCGACGGCGCCGCCCAGCAGCGCGGCCGCCGCCGCGGCGCCGCCTGCCCCGCCGCCGCCGCCGCCGCCTGACAGCGCCGCGTCGACCCGCAAGATCACTCTGAGCAGGGCGCGATCTGTCGGGTGCAGCGTGCCGTGGTATGCGGCCAGCAGCACCCGCAGCAGCGGCCGCAGCACCCGCTCCTCCTCTGCCACAGCCGCGGCCGGTCCTCCGCCGCCGCCGCCGCCCTCGCCGTCTTGGTCTGATCCTGACTCCCCGCCTTCCGCCAAATCTGCCTCGTCGCCAACCTCTGGTGTGAACTGGAGCCGCAAGTCCAACAGGACCTCCAGCAAAACAGCAAGCTCGCGCTTCAGACTCAACCCGGCCCCGCGCTCACTGCCGCCGACCTCACTGCCGCCCCCGCCGCCGCCGCCACGACCCCCGCCGTCCTGCTCCGCGGCGGCAGCAGGCGCCAGCAGCGCGTCTACGACAGGCAGCAGCGACCCCAGCGGCGCAGCGACGCGTGAGAGCGCCGCCGGCAGCGGCGCCGGCAGCGGCGGCTCGCCGCCCGCGGCCGCCTCGCCGCAGAGGACCGCGCCGACGCCAGCGGCGCTGCCATCAAGCATGGCGGGCAGGAAGGCGGAGTGCGCCAGCAGCAACTCCAGCAGCCGCAGCGCCAGCGCCGCCGCCTCGGGGTTGTCGACCCGCGGCGGCGGCTCGTCGGCGCTGCCGTCGTCGTCCGCGCCCGCGGCGTCCGCGGCCGCGGCGCCTCCGACAGCCACGCCCTCTTCCTCATTCTCATCCTCCCCCTCGCCACCGCTGCTGCTCGTGGCGCCGCCGCTTGCCAGGTCCTCCGAATCCGATGCGCCGTCGGACATCAAATCGGCCCCCTCCCCCTCGCCACCGCCGCCCTCCCCCTCCTCGTCCCCGCTGCCTGGCGCGCCATCAATGTCCGCCACATCAGCGTCGCTCTCCTCGCTGCCGCCGCTGCCGGCCTCTTCGCCGCCGCCGCCCTTCTGCCC